TATTAAATAGTTGGCTTAAAAAATATTTTTTTTTACTGTACTAAATTTAGTACAAATGTGAAACGGATAGCCATTAAAATAACAATCCGGACAAAAAATCATGTTATACAGCAATTAGATAAATCAAAAAGGAATGCAGCATTTCAAGAAAGAATTTTAACTCTTGAATCAGAAAATGCAGGTTTCAAGATGCAGCATTTCAAGAAAGAATTTTAACTCTTGAATCAGAAAATGCAGGTTTCAAGTTAAGAAATACGGTTCTACCACAAAATCCCGAAAGTCATTTTCCTGAAAGGACATAATATTGACCAAATTGGCCAACATTATAACTAATGCCGGCTAACTTTGTCGGTATTAGGTCCTTTCGGGAATCTGTCTTTCAGGATTTTGTGGTAAATCCCTAGGATATAACTATAACCTCTTATCTTAATAGGATATAAAACCGGTTATTAGATTTTATTAAAGGCTATAGCCTTTCAAGTAAAGGGCACGAGCACTAGAAAAATTCTTTTTTTTTTATTTAAAATTCCAATATCAAAATTTAAGGTCACATTTTCTAGATTTTTTGAATTTAAGAATACAAGGAGGAAAACCTTTGTTCTGGCGACAACGTATTATATTGTAAGGTGGTAATAAGGGAGAAATAGATATAAAAATCAGTTAACTTAAATTGTGATTCATTTTTATTCATCAATAGTGATATTGATAAAATTCTAGAAAATGTCCAAATAATTTGCTTAATAAATATATATGATCAGCTTGAGGGACAAGTAGTTATTTTCTACTATCTGCTCTCTTCACTGAACAACCGAATATTCGTGATATATCAGAAAATTAATTGAGACATTATTTTTTTTTCAAATATAGAGGTTTATGACTATACATTTAAAACACAATTGATAAGCATATAAATAAAACCTATATTGAACTTGATTTAGTAGCAATAAGAGCATCATTATATTAATTTCAATTTCTAGTAAAGTTACTATGAAAACATTAACAATGAACAAATCTAGAATAGTGATTATAAATCACCTAAAACTGGAAATTGATTTTTAATGTTTGAAAATGATAAATGTAAAGAGTCTTTACTTTTATCATTTTTGAGAATATCGTCAGGAGCAAGCCAAATAAACTTAACCTTATTTCCTTCTGTATTACATAGGGTTGCCCATTTGTTTTTTAATGAACCTTCTCCTGTCATAAAATTATCCTTGCTCTTTCTATGATTTGCAAGAGAATCAATAGTAACTTGAAATGAAAATAATATTTTACTACAATGATCCCAAACAAGAAAATCTACACCGGGATAATTATCAGACTGTGGAAGAAATAGAGCATTTTTCTCCATATTAAAACCTTCAGTAGGTATGTCATTTCCTATAAACTTTATAATTTGGCTTAATTTAAAATTTAAATCGTATGCAACAGTTCGTTTTCTTCCGGGTTCTCTAATATAACCTGTTAGTATATTTCATAAATTAGTTAAGATTGATCATCAAAATTAAAGATCCTTACGTAATCTTGAATTCCAATGTTTTTGTATATTCCAAGAGTGTCTTAATATATAATTCCGCAAATCTTCCTTTAGTATCATTAGAATATTCACCTTTATTAAAAACATCTGATACCATATCTCTCAGTTCATTCAAAGGATGTTCGGGATGAGAATCAATAATTGCTTGTTGTGCGAGGGGATGAATAGCAACAATTGTTGCATTTGTATCTCCTTCTTCATCAGTTTCACTAACAGATTTTTCATACATAAATTGACGATTCATACCATAAATCACATCAGGCTTAGTACTTCCTAAGATCATGGAGACAACACAACTATTTAGACTTATTAATTCATTATGATCTAAGTTTTTTCGAAATATATGATGATTCGATAGTATTTCAGTCCCTCGCATATCCAAATAATTTGAGGTCTTCTCAACTAAACTAGATCCATTTGTCATATGCCATAAGTCCAACTCTAAAGGATATGAATTTGTCCAAAACCTAATAGAATCCAGCTGTGACTTAAGTTGTGGATTCCGGTCAATTTTATAGTTGCGCATTTTACACCACTCCAAGAATTCATCGTCGGTATAACCACTATACATAAAGAACTTTTCCCACAATTTGAATTCTTTAGGAAATACTTCATTGTTTGCAGATGCCGAAACAATAATGAGACCAATTTCATCCAAAAAGGTAGGAAGGGTTTTTACCAACGAAAATGGGAACTTTACATGGACATCATATTTATGCAAAGCATTATATTGATCAAAAACCCAAATCCAGAGGTACTCATTTTCACGAGCATATGTCCGCAACTCTTTAATAAACGTCTTAAAACGTTCTTCACTAAATACAATATTAAAATAATAAAAATATTTAGTCATTTAGAAATCTTCTCTCAAGGTAGAGTTGTATTTAAATTACATACATAGAATTGCTACTGCTCATCATGAATGCTTCGACCCACTTAGAATGTTCTGTTAACTTGTCAAGTTTATCGCTCAAACGTTTTGTAAGACCTCTAATCACAAATTCAATCCAATCAGCTACAGTAAGCGGGGATAATTCATCATTGCTGAATGTACATATCAACTCATTGAGCAAGAACTCGTATGGTACGTGGTCATGGCTTTTCCACCATTCCTCACAGCTATTAATATACGTTACTCTAAGGTTGTTATGTAGACGGAGTTGAGCGACAAGATAATATATACTATATGACTTTCCTAAACCGGAAGGTCCGAATATATATAAACCTCTAGATACATTCTGTTCTTCGATTGAATCTACAACTTTACGAAATATTTCAACGCAATTTCTTCTACAAATAAAAGGTAGTTTTCCTTCTCTAATATGGATGCGATTTTGTACCTTATTTTCGCTTAATTGTGGTAGATTAATAATCTCTGAATTTTTATAATTAACAGTAAGTTCTTCTTCTTTAATGTCAATAAGTTCCTTGCTAATAAGAAGCTTCTTAAGTTCATCATTATCATTTTTTGTTTTTTTAATAATGTTGTCAACAGGGTAAATGCTAAAAGATAGTTCTGACTGCGTTTTTTTATTAACCTTTATTCTTTTAAGAGTTGGTGGATTAATTTTGTCTAACTCTACCGTAGTGAGGGTCCTTTTTAATTTTTTTTCGATCATACCACTTGACGAACCTTCGTCATTATCTTTGGTTGCCATATTAAAGATCGTTGTTTTATCATTATTTATGTCCTTAAATAAAAAACATCGTGGGAAATTTTTTTGTAATCAACCAATCAATACATATTAGAGCAGTGTTGTCAATTGGACATGTCCAATTGAATTTTGTAATTGGATAGTTTTGGACATGTCCAAAACTGTCCAAAATTGTTTTGAAGTTATTGATATATAACTAGGGTAGCTGCGCAGCGTGTAGAGTCCTAATTTCCCCCATCGGTTCTACAACAAAATCCCGAAAACTATTTTCCCGAAAGAACATAATACCGATTAAATTGGCCAGCATTATAACTAATGCCGGCTAACTTTGTCGGTATTAGA